TATATAAACCCTGGCTAGTCTAGAACTTTCTTAAAGCTGTCCTCAAATAGAGATTCACCTGTCTCTGCCTCCCACATGATGGGATCAAAGGCCTACACCTGCCACATTGGGCTCCTGAGCCTTTTCTTTAAAAAACAAAAGGTTTTAATTTATTTTTATTTTGTGTATGAGTGTTTTGCCTGTAATTGTACAATGTGTGTGTAATCCCTGTGAAGGCCAGAAGAGATCCTCAGATCCCCTGGAACTGGAATTACAGTTACTAGCAACCATGTGATGCTGGGAAGCAAATCCAGGTCCAGAGCAGCCAGGGCTCTTAACTGCTGAGCCATCTCTCCACCCCTCCCAAGCCCTTTATTTAAAATTTTTTCCTTTTTAATATTTTATTTTTGTGTGTGTGTACAAGCGTATTGTCTGCATGTATGTGAGCGCACCCATGTAGTGCAATGCCTGGGAAGTCAGAAGAGGGCGTCGGATTCCCCTGGAACTGGAATTAAGGATGGTTCTTAGCTGCCATGTGGGTACTGGGAATCGAACCCAGGTCCTCTGCAAGAGCAGTCAGTGCTCTTAACTGCTGAGCCATCTCTCCAGCCCCTATTTTTAAAATTTTTACCACGGTTTTATTTAATGTGGGGGAGGGGCATGTGTGCCACAGGATGACACAGGTGGAGGTTAGAAAACAACTTGTGAGAGTTGGTTATCTCCTTCCACCTGTGATAGACTGGGATGAACTCAGGTGTTCAGACCTGGTGGCAATCTCCTTCACCCACTGAGACATCTCTCTGGGTCTTACTTAACCCAGATTAACTTCCAAGTTGATCTGTGGGGAAGGATGATTTTGAACTACTACCTCCATCTCCTGAATGCTGGAGAAGCCTCTACACCCTGCCCAAATTTTAAGCTTCTAAACCCTGATTTTGATCACCTATGACCCAACAGGCAGAACGTATGAATTCGCTCATGTATGGACTTCACCCCCAAACCAACTTTTATCAAGGGCAATACAGGGAAATCAGAGGAAAAAAATCAGATTGTTAGGTGGGAGGCAGTAGTCTGCCGTAGGGAAGCCATCCAGAGTTGTGTCGGCTGATGTAGATGCCTAGAAGACACAGTCACATTCTCTAAGACGGGTTTGGTTTCTAAGGCAGGGTCTTGGTGTAACCTAGGCTGGCTTTTAACTTGCATCATCGTCCTGCCTAAGGCTCCAGCGTGTAGGGATGACAAGCGTGGTCCACCACGCTGGTCAGAGATGGTGACTAACCAGGGTTTTACGTTGAATCCACCTTCTACCTCGGACTCACATAACCCCATTGGTCAGGATGCTTTTCTGAGTCTCGGGTCTCGCTCTGTATACAGAACACAACGCCATGGAGGATAGGATGAGTCTCGGCAGTGGCACCGTCCACTGGGACGCTGGAGGTCTGGGAAGGACGGTGTGCAAGTGCAGGAAACAGGTAACTAGTCATGAGCTGGAACTTCTGCTTTCTGACCCGGGTTTCCAGGGACCCGGAAACTCCTGACGCCTTCCGCCGGATGGTGACCTAGTCCGTACCCTTCATCAGTAGCAAAAAAACCAATAATTCAGAAGCTGACCCCCTCCTGGGCCATCATTGACTGGTCGTTGCAGACGCACAGCAACATGACTTGTGGGAAATGTAGTTCGCCCTCATACTTTTGCCGCTAGCCACGCCTCCTGTCCTGTTGGCTTGGCAACGACCAAGCACGCTACGGGGGTGGGTGGGGGCACAAAAGTGACGTCATAAGGTGCTGCCCACGCCAAGGGAGTAAAGCAAGCAGCTAGATGAGCCGGCTGAGACTTCCGGAGTTTCCAGACTGAGCCCCACCCCCCGCCTCCCCCCGCAGGTTGCAATGGCCCTGGAGCCTCCCATGAACGCAGGGTGTCCCCCGATGAGTAAACGGCCATGTCAGGTGAGGACACCGGTGCTAAGGCGGAGATGGAGGAGGGCAGGGGGGAGGAGCTCAGAGGTGAACTGGGGAGCTTCCTGGGCATGCAGCGTGTGTCTGGAAGATCCTGGGACCTGGTCCCTGGAGGCCGAAGGGTAGGGATTTGGTTTGTAGCTGAGAAGTGCATAGGTTTCATTGTATCTGAGATGTGATCTCTGGAACTCAAGGGAATTGGCAGACGTGGGCTAGGGTGTTGGGTTCTGAACATGGATCTCTTATGCCCGGCCACCAGCTTATCGCTGCAGGCTAAATAAAGTGAACAGTGGTTAACGCCTCAGGCATCAGTGCCGCCTTTAGAGACCCAGCATTTCTCTGGGGTAGGGGGTCTTGGGAGAAGGTCTGGTATGCTAGCGAGGCCCTGTAGGGGTGCGGCAACGCCTTCGTTTTCTGCCAATTAAAAGGGAGAAAAGAGGTCTGGCTGGTGCCACACGCCTTTAATCCCAGCACTGGGTAGGAAGAGGCAGTTCAAGGCCAGCCTAATCTACATAGCAAGGTCCTGGCCAGCCTGAGCTACATGGTGAGACCCTGTCTTTAAAAAAAATTTTTTTAAAGGTGGTGGCAGCTAACAACCATCTGTAACTCCAAGTTCCAGGGGATCCAATGCCCTCATCTGACCTCCGCGGGCATCGCATGACACAGGTTCACTTACACACATGCAGACAATACATTCATACACATAAAATAAAAATAATAAGATATTTAAAAAATAGGAATGGACACCAAAAGATGCTTAAGAATAAAGAACTGAGTCCCAATGGAAGCTCAGGGACATTGATACTGCTTTAGAAGGAAAACCCCAGCAGGGAAGCTGTAGATCTGGCAGCTGTGGAGAAAGGAGAACAGAGAGGAGAAAGAACCAGAACCATGTTGTTTGATGGTTTCTTTTTTGTTTTGTTTTGCTTTTTTGTCTTTTTTTTGAGACAGGGTCTCCCTGTAGCCCCAGCTGCTCTAGAACTCATTAAGTAGACCAGGCTGGCCTTGAACTCACAGAGATTTTGCCTGCTGCTGCCTCCCAAATTCTTGGATTAAAGGTGTGCACCACGCTTGGTGGAGCCTTGTTGTTTGAGATAAAGCAGCTTGGAGGTCAGATACATAGCAGCAGGCAGCCAGCTGATGGGGAGGGGAGCTTAGAAAATGATTAAGGAAGCCCAAAGCCTTAGTTACTTTAAAGGCATACTTGGGCCCTGGCCCACATCCAAAAGGGAAAGACAGAAGAAAAAAATAGTTACTGGCCAGACAGCATATGCCTTTAATCCCAGCACTCAGGAGGCAGAGGCAGGCAGTTCTCTTGAGTTCTAGATCAGCTTGGCCTACATAGCAAGTTGGCAGAGCAGCTAGGGCTATGGAGACTTTATCTCAAAAAGAAAAAGTTACTCAGATTCAGGAAGGAAGGCAGATTCCCAGCCTAACTATGCTGACTCTGCTCAGAGGTAGTAGTAAGTAGGTGGGCATTCTGGGAAGGAAAGCACATTGTCTGAAGGTAAGCAAACATTCCTAGGGGTGCTCCCCAGCTAAGTCCCTGACCTGGGTTGATTACCCCTTCAGGGAGGACACTAGGGCATGTGTCCACCTAGAGGTAGATTGCATTCTTTTTTTTTTAATTACTTATTTATTATTTTATTTTATGTGTATTGCCTGCATATAGGTAAATGCACCTGTGTCATGCAATGCCTGAGCACATCAGAGGCTGTCGGATGCCCTGGGACTGGAGTTACGGACAGTTGTTAGCTTCCATGTGGGTGCTGGGATTCGAACCCGGGTCTTCTGCAAGAACTGTCAGTGTTCTTAACCTCTGAGCCATCTCTCCAGCCTTTATATTGCATTCTTTCCAGGGGGTGTGTGAAGGGAAAGATTTCTGGCTCCTAGGGCAGGATGTCAGTAGGAGAGGAGGCAGGACCTGACACACAGGTCAAGGCTTGGATGTGCCCCTCGTTCTACTTTTCATTGTTTGTTCTGCCCACGCTGTACCCTCTATCAGCTCAGTTCATCCTTGCAGAGCCTGGTGATGTTTGAAGATGTGGCCATCTATTTCTCCTGGGAGGAGTGGGAGCTCCTTGATGTGGCCCAGAGGCGCCTCTATCATGAGGTGATGCTGGAGAACTTTGCACTCGTTAGCTCTCTGGGTAAGTCCCTCACTCTTCCCCAGCACAGACCACCTTTGCCTTTGTTTCATGGAAGTCCTGGGTTCTCTGATGTAGGTGTTATGGATGCTGGGTCTGAGCCTGGATCTGGGCTCTGTGTTTTTATTCTGACTAGCCCTGTGCAAAGACTAAACAACTGCTGCCCCAGGTCTAGGAGACTAACCTAGTTGTATCACAGTTAGGCTCCACGTTTCCTTCAGCTCTTTTTCCCTGGCTCTATACATTTGCCAAAGATATCACTTCTCTTTACCAGGTTTTACCTTCTTTCTTTCTTTGTGTTTTTGGAGACAGGGTCTCTGTGTAGCCCTAGCTGGCCTAGAACTATGTAGACCAGGCTGGCCTTGATCTCACAGAGATGTGCTTGTCTCTGCTTCCTGAGTACTGGGATTAAGGTTTTGGGCTACCACTCTTAGCCCAGACTTCTCCTAAAAGAAGTTTTGCAAGGTCCTCCCTAGAACAGGTTTGAGCCCTGAATTTGAATCATTAGATCATTTGAAAAAGTACTGATGCCTTTTTTTCTTTTTCTTTTTCCTATTATTTAATTTATTTTGAGACTGAGTCTCACTGTCTGTCCCTGACTGTACTGGAATTCATTATGTAGACCAGACTTGCCTGGAACTCACAGGGATCCACCTGCATCTTCCTTACCAGTGCTAGGATTAAAGGCTTTGGTAGGACATTTGTTTGTGTTGTTGCTTAGAAGGACATAAGGTTTAGTGTCTTAACATTTGTATTGCATTTATTTATTTCATATATATGATGGGTGATTGAGTGTTTGCATACCACAGCACACATGTGGTAGTCAGAGGATAACTTTGAGGAGTCCGTTCTCTCCTTCCACCATGTAAGTACCAGGGATCAAACTCAGCTTGTCACGTTTGGCCACAAGCACCTTTATACACTAAACTATCTTGCCAGCCTATTCCCTTAAGAAAATTTAAAATGTGCAGAGGACATTCATTTTCTGTGAACCTTCATAAGTATAAATATCCTTAAACAACATTTAAATTTCATTCCTGGTTGCAGTGATGGCATGAGCTTCCCTTGGTGTGCAGCAGGGTGGGTTGGCTTTGGGCTGGACTTGGATTAGCTTCTTATTTCAGGACTTTTCCATTAAGAGACTTCAACTGTGTGGTGATATGGAGCTCTAGGTTCCCAGTTGGTGAATATGACTCCATTTTTCTTTTTTTTCTTTTTTTGGGCCTTTTTCAGACAGGGTCTTCCTGTAGCCCCAGCTGTCCTGGAACTTACTATGTAGACCAGGCTGGCCTTGAATTCACAGAGATCCACCTGCCTCTGCCTCCCGAGTGCTGGGATTAAAGGCGTGCACCACCACGCCCGGCTATGACTCCATTTTTCACACAGGCCATTAGGGACCCTGGTCTTGGTCAGGGAGCTGCAGGATGACTTGGTTTCAGTGATGGGTTCACGGCATGCCGGGTATCTGTGCACACCTGTGCTGTGATACGGAGATGAGTGACGGTAACTTCTTCCCTCCTTTCTTTTTTTTAAAAAAAAAATTATTCTTTTTTAATTTTTATTTCTTTTTAATTTTTTGGTCTTTTTGAGTCAGGGTTTCCGTGTAGTCCCATTTGACCTGGAACTCACTATGTAGACGAGGCTGGCCTTGAACTCACAGAGATCTACCTGCCTCTGCCTCCCCAGTGCTGGGATTAAAGATGTGTGGCACCACACCCAGCAAAAAATATTTATTTTATATTATGAATGTATTGCCGGCATGTATATAAATGCACCCGTGTAGTGCAATGCCTGCAGATGTCAGAAAAAGGCATCAGATCCCCTGGTACTGGAGTTAGAAACAGTTGTTAGCTACCATGCGGGTGCTAGGAACTGAACCTGGTTCCTCTATAAAAGCAGCCAGTGCTCTTAACTGCTCAGCCATCTTTCCAGCCCCAGTTCCCTCTTATTCTTTCTGGACACTGTGCATTTTGCCATCTTATGCCATGACTGTAGGCTCTGTTAACCCCGCTATTGGTCTGTGTCTCCATTTCTCTTATTTCTAATTTTTTTTTTAAAGATTTTTTTTTTTAATGTATTTTTGGCCAGGCGTGGTGGTGCATGCCTTCACTCCCAGCACTCTGGAGGCAGAGGCAGGCAGATCTCTGTGAGTTCAAGGCCAGCCTGGTCTACATAGTGAGTTCCAGGACAGCTGGGGCTACAGGGAGACCCTATCTCAAAAAGACCAAAAAAAAAAAAAAGAAAAGAAAAAAAATGTATTTTCTGTGTATGAGTGTTTTGCTGGCATGTATGAAAGGGCACCAAGTGTGTACAGTGCCCTTAAGAGGCCAGAAGGGGCCTTCAGATTCCCTGGAACTGGAGTTACAGATAGTTATTAGCTGCCATGTTGATGCTGAGAACCACTCCCAGGTTTCTCTGCAAGAGCAGCCAGTGCTCTTAACTGCTAAGTCATCTCTCTATCCCCTTCTTATTTTTTTGAGACAGAGTCTCAGTATGTAGCCCTTGATGGCCTGGAACTCAGAAATGTAAACCAGGATGGCCTTGAACTCAAAGATCTTCCTGCCTCTCCCTCCCGATTTGTGGGATCACAGACTTGTGCTACCACACTTGACTTAGTTTCTTTGTTGTGAGTGGGTAAACTTGTCCACTTGTGACCACTCTGGTGTGACTTGATATATATGTTTATCTTTAAATAATACTTGATGCCGGGCGTGGTGGCACACGCTTTTAATCCCAGCACTCAGGAGGCAGAGGCAGGTGGATCTCTCTGAGTTCAAGGGCAGCCTGGTCTCCATGGTGAATCCAGGACAGCTGGGGGCTACAGGGAGACCCTGTCTCAAAAAGACCAAAAACAAAAACAAAAAAACCTTGAATACCAGCCTCTATTTTGCAGTCAAATTTTTGCTAAGAGTACACTGCCCTATCCAGAGCTTAGTACTATGCAGAGTTGAAGCCCTGTTGAAACCCTTTGGAGAAGAGTATATTTTAAACTTTTTTTTTTTTTTTATTTTATGTGTATGCATGTGTTGCCTGCATGTAGGTAAGTGTACCCATGTCGTGCAATGCCCACGGAGGGCAGAAGAGGCTGTCAGATCCCCTGGGACTGGAGTTACAGACAGTTGTTAGCTGTCATGTGGGTGCTGGGATTTGAACCCAGGTCTTTTGCAAGAACAACCAGTGTTCTTAACCGCTGAGCCATCTCTCCAGCCCCCAAAGAGAAGAGTATATTTTAAACCTCAGTCATTTCCTGAACACCTCACCCCATTTTGTATCCTCATCTATTCAAGTTTTCCCTAGTCTGTGGGCAGTAGAGCTGAGTTCTGCTGGTCCAGCCGGTGATCACCCAGAACTTTCGCAGCAAACGCACAGCAGTTGTGTGGAATCCTTTCTCAATGTTCCTGACCTGCTCTGCTGATAAAGGCACTGCTTCCCTCCGATCCAGCTCCAGTAACTGGTCTTTGCTTTCAGGTTGTCAGTGTAGAGTGAAAGGTGAGGAATCGCCTCACAAGCAAGTGTCAGAGTCCTGTTTGTGTGGAGAGCCTGGGGAGGATAACACAGACACCACAGACACCACAGACCTCCAGCACCGAGGTGCCCCCAGCAAGGAGAAGCTGTGCAGGAGCAGTGAGCACAGGGCAGCCTTTCCACCCCAGCCCAGTCACAGGCAGCAGCAAGGAGCCCACAGTACACAGAAGCCCTTCAAATGCACCGTCTGTGGGACAGGCTTCGAGAAGGCCTTCACTCTCCTCAACCACCTGATAACTCACTCTGAAGGGAGACATTTCACTTGCCCAACAGGCAAGAATGACCCCAAGGAGAACTTGATCCACATTAGTCACCGAAAAACTCGCCATGGACCAACAGCCCACGTGTGTCTTGAATGTGGGAAGACCTTCAGTAACCGCTGTAAACTGATGTTACACTTCAGGGTGCACACAGGCATAAAACCTTTCAGGTGCAGCAAGTGTGGGAAAACCTTCAGCCGCAAAGATGCACTTGCTGTGCACCAGAGGATTCACACCGGAGAAAGGCCTTACAAATGCGACATATGTGGGAAAGCCTTCAGCGTTGTGTCTAGCCTCATTCAGCACCAGAAAGTTCACACTGGAGAAAGGCCCTATGAGTGCAGGGAGTGTGGGAACTGCTTTAGAGATAAGAGGAGCTTCATTCGTCACCAAAGAGTACACACTGGAGAAAGGCTTTTCGAGTGCAAGCAGTGTGAAAAAACCTATCTGACCCGTTCTGGTCTGTATGCACACTTGAAAGGGCATACTGGTGAACGGCCCTATGAGTGCAGCCTGTGTGGAAAAACGTTCACCAGCAGCTCTTCCCACAATCGACACCAGAAGATTCACACAGACAAGAGATCCCACGGATGCACAGAATGTGGGAAAGCCTTCAAACATCGTTCTAACCTCATTCAGCACAAGAAAGTCCATACTAGAGAAAAGCCTTAGGTAGTCAGGGCATGTGAGAAAAGTCTTTAACCACTAGCAGCTTGTAGGGCACAGGTGTCTGATTCGAGAAAAGAGATAAAGGAGATCTTCAGGCATTTCTTACTCTTCGTCGATAGTGTTGATCCTACAATGGTGCTTGCCATGCCTGGACTTTTGCATTGTTCCAGAATAGGTAGTAATAAAGACCTTGTTGTTTAAGCTACCTTTCAAAATATATATATATATATATATACACACACTATTTTGGGGGGCTGGAGAGATGGCTCAGCAGTTAAGAACACTGGTTGTTCTTACAGAAGATCCGGGTTCGAATCCCAGCACTCACATGTCAGCTAACAACTGTCTGTAATTCCAGTCCCAGGGGATCCGACAGCCTCTTCTGACCTCCTTGGGCATTGCAGGACACAGGTGCACTTACCTACATGTAGGCAATACATGAATACACATAAAATAAAAATAATAAATATATATATACTATTTTTATTTTAGGTGTATGTGTGTATTTGCATGTAGGAAGACTCACCTGTGTTGTGCAGTGCCCATGGAGGTCAGAAGAGGGCCTTGGATCCCCTGGAACTGGAGTTATAGATGGTCCTTAGCCACCATGTGGGTGCTGGGATTCAAACCTGGGCCCTCAGTAAGAGCAGCCAGAGCTCTTAACCACTAAGCCATCTCTATAGCCCCATTAAGCTACCTTTTATATGTTGTATGAAGAGACTGAGAATTGGATTGGTCTCTTGTTAGGAAGAGAATACCTTTTGAGGGGCTTTGCTCCCTTCACTGTGTGTATGTGTTTGTATGGATGCACAAGCAACTGTGTGTGTATTCACTGGCTAGCCTGGAACTCACTGTGTAGAGAAGGCCTGTATGGAACTCACAGATATTCTCTGCCTCTGCCTCCTGAGTGCTCGAAAGCTGTGCACCACCAGGCCTAACTTTTTTAAAATTTTTTTCTTGGTCTTTTTGAGGCAGGGTCTCCCTGTAGCCCCAGCTGTCCTGGAACTCACTATGTAGACCAGGCTGGCCTTGAACTCACAGAGATCCACTGGCCTCTGCTCCTAAGTGCTGGAATTAAAGGCCTGCACCACCATGTCCGGCTTTTTTTATTTTTAAAGAGTCTCATTCTGTAGACCAGGCTGGCCTCAAATTCATGGCAGTCCTTCCACCTCAACCTCCCAAGTACTGGGATTGCAGGTGTAAGCCACCATACCCAGTCACTTAGCCTTTCTTATATAATGACCCTCATACAATGAATCAGCATGGTGGCGTGGGGATTGAACTCAGATCATCATGTTTGGTGGCAAGCACTTTTTCCTGCTAAGGATTTCCAGGCAAGTTGAGTACACGAGACACCATCTAAAATAAAAATCATTGTAATTGTGTGGGGTGTGTGTGTGTGTGTGTGTGTGTGTGTGCATGTGTGAAGGACAACAGTGTGTTCTCTCCTACACCTCATATGGGTTCTGGGAATAGAACTCTTGTTGTCAAGTTTATATGTCTACTTCAAAAAGGCCTTTGTGATTACATCAGGCCTATCTGTCTAATCTCCCTGAAGATCACCTTAATCACAGGAGTGTAATAAAATCCTTGCTATGTTGCAGTTTCTGGCCTGCCTAAGGCAGTATCATGCAGCAGCAGAATCCATGTGACTTCTAAAGCTGTCACAGCAAACTCCATCATCCATTTCCTTCAGGAATCCTTCCTTAAGGCTTCCTCCATGGGATTCTGACAGTGTCTTCCTGTCTTCCTGGTTGAGAGCACCCGAGCCGAAGTCTTCACAGGGCTACCAGTGTTCCCCCTCCATGGACACTGTTGACCCCACACATGACAGCCATATGAGAGCTGTTGAGTCTTCAAGTCTTCCATCTCAGGAGCTGCCCCTGAATTGTGTGACAAATACTTGAAACCACCTGTGATCCTGGAATTTCCCTTAATTGTGTGGGATGAAATGAAAAAGAATTAGGGGCCTGGAGAGATGGTTCAGATGTTAAGAGCATTTGTTGCTCTTGCACAGGACCTGAGTTTGGTTCCCGGGATCCTCATGGCAGCTAAGAACCATCTGTTACTCCAGTTTCAGGGAATCTGATGCCCTCTTATGGTCTCTGAGAGCACTGCATACACATGGTGCAGTTACATACATGCAAGCAAAAAACAAAATTAGGTAGGTAGGTAGGTAGATAGATAGATAGATAGATAGATAGATAGATAGATAGATAGAACAAAAACCAAACAAACCATGCCTGGTGGCACACACTTTTTATACCACCACTCCAGAGGAAGAGGCAGGCAGGTCTCTTGAGTTCTGGCCAACTAGGTCTCCATAGCAAGTTCCAGGCCAACAGGGCTATATAGTGACACCGTGTGTGTGTGTGTCTGTGTGTGTCTGTGTGTGGTTCGCCTAAGAAAGCACTCAGCATGAAATAGGTGAGTAAACTTAAAGTGAGGTTCAAGGAGGTAATGCCAGGGCAGAGCCTCACATGCAGGCTCAGGTAAAGTAAAGGGTTGGGAGGAAATCCCAAGACTGGGGATGTGACTCAGCAACATTTAGTGAGCATGGAGCCCCAGGTTCAATTCCTATTACCCATGTCTACCCTTAACACATGCACACGCACATGCACACACACACACACATCCAAAGAGTAGGAACTCCATTCTGATATCACTTGGGATTTAACTCTGATGTCAGTAGTGGGAAGCTCCCTTCCACTCCCCACCCTGATGCACAGCAGGCACTTAGCCTCTATGAGCTTCAGGTCTGGGACCCTCCACTTTTCTGCCCAATCACACAAGGGAACAACTCTATCTCACTGTTTTCTCAGTAAACATTCAAGGATATGTATTAGCCTATGAGGTGTGAAGAAGTGGCCAGGGTGTTAGTACTGGGCAGTAAGAGAGGAGAGGAAGACATGGAGATGGAATGGACAAAGAGGTGGGGGATAGACAGGGTGCAGGAAGTTTAGATAAAAGTAGCTGCGATACTGGTCAGGAAGACAGAAAAATGGTGGGGCTGACAACACTGACAGCAGAGGCACAGCGTGGCACCAGAAGACCTCTCTCCAGAACTTTCCCGCCCCAGCTATCAGTCTCCAGATGAATCTTTTCCAGATCTCTTGTGAGATTCAGATTTCAAGATGAACTAGTTCATCAATTACTTTTAAAAATTTTTATTTTTGCCGGGCGTGGTGGCACACACCTTTAATCCCAGCGCTAGGGAGGCAGAAGCAGGTGGATCTCTGTGAGTTTAAGGCCAGCCTGGTCTACATTGTTCCAGGACAGCTGGGGCTACAGGGAGACCCTGTCTCAAAAAGACCAAATATATATATATATATATACATATATATATTTAATGTGTATTGCCTGTATGTGTGTAGGTACACCTGTGTCATGCATGCCTGCAGAGGTCAGAAGACAGTGTCAGATCCCCTGGAACTGGAATTACGAGTGTTAGCCACCATGTGGATGCTGGGATTCAAATCCAGGTCCTCTCCAAGAGCAGCCAGTACTTAACTGCTGTGCCATCTCTCCAGCCCCCAAAATTACTGATTTTTAAAAACATTTTTTTTTGGTCTTTTTGAGACAGGGTCTCCCTGTAGCCCCAGCTTGCCTGGAACTCGCTATGTAGACCAAGCTGGCCTCCAACTCACAGAGATCCTCTGCCTCTAGGATTAAAGGTATGAGCCACCATGCCTGGCATATTTTAAATTTTATTTTATTATTTATGAGTATGAGTGTTTTACTGGCATGTATGTAAGTGAACCTGTGTTGTACAATATGCTTAGAGGCCAGAAGGCAATGGATCCCCTGGAACTGGAGTTAGATGATTGTTAATCACCATGTGGTGCTCAGAACTGAATCTGGGTCCTCTGCAAGAACAGCCAGTGCTCTTAACCATTGAGCCTCACCAAAGCCCCCTCTATCGTTGCCTCTGACTACACTACAGTTGGGTAAATTCACTGAGTATAAGGGTGACAGTTCGTGAGGAATGTGTAAATTTGTGATCGTCCAGCCTAGGATAAGAAAACCCACCCATGTCAGTCCATGGCTACTGACCAGAAATTGAAGGAGTTACATCTGTGTCAACATCTACTGGACAGAACACACAGGAGTCAGGGCTGCAAGGAATATTTGAAGATATGTGATCATCAGCTCAGCACATGTTAAAAGAGCGTGAAGCAAAGGTTGCACAGCTGAGCTCTAAGAACAGAGAAGAGAAAAGAGTTGGGGCACAGTTGAGAGGGGGCTATCAAGAGGATAGAAAAACTAGTAGAGTCAGAGACTTACCAAGACCTGAGAGGGCATGGGCCATGTACCAGGTGTGAGGAAAAGCCCATCCTGGGATGGTCACCAGGGCCATGTACCAGCTGTGAGGACAGATCATCCTAGGGTGGTCACCAGGGCCAGCACCAGGTGTGAAGACAGGGCCATGCATCAGTTGTGAGGACAGCCAATCCTGGGATTGGTCACCAAGGTCAGGTCTCCTCTGGGCTTGTGAGCTGTACCTGTTTCTGAGTTCATGCTATTAGCATGGAAGTGATGGAATGTAAATGTACCGGAGGTCAAACTCACCTCCCTTTAACCACAACAGACCCCAGTTGGTAAGAATAAGCTGTATACAGAGGAAGATGGTGAACTTCACAAACACAACATCCAGGATTTCAATGTTCCCATGAAGAGCCCAGCGGATCCCAAACGAGTGCCTTGCATTTTCCAGGAGTAACCAAGCTGATATTACCTGCGTGGAAAATTGTGTGTATGAATAGTGCATGTGGATATGTTGTATGTGAATCTGAAGGCCAGAGGTTGATGTGGGGTCTCTTTTTCAATTGCTCTTTTTTTTTTTTTTTCCTTTTTTTTTTTTTTTTTTTTTTTTTTTTTTTTTTTTTTTGCTGGCCTGGTACTCACTATGTAGACTGGGCTGGCCTCAGTCTCACAGACATCTACCTGCCTCTGCCTCCCAGGTGGTGGGATTAAAGGTGTGTGCCACCATGCCCAGCTCCACCTTATTTTTGGAGATAAGGTCTCTTTCCGAACCTGGGGCTCCCCCTGGCTTTGTAGGTGAGGATGACTTGAACTCTTGATCCTCCAGCCTCCACCTGCACAGCACTAGGATTTTAGGCCTAAGCCTCCATACGCTTCCAAAAATTTAGGCTTATAAAGCCCGATTTTTATCACCTATAAACCCCTAGGTAGAATGTGTGAGGGTGCTCACGCCTGCCTTCATCCCTGAACCAACGATTTTCAAGGAAAAGCAGAGGAAAACTCAGAATCTTAGCTGGAGAGTAAAGCCACGCAGAGGTGTCAGTGACGGTTGGTGATTTTTACCCTGCTTTTTCAGTCGGGTTTCCTTGACGCCCTCTGCCATAGCACAGCCCAGTGCTTGGCTTTCTTTCTTAGGAAACCCAAGGCAGAAGCTGACCCCGTCCTAGGCCATCATTGGCTAGTCCGTGCAGACCCACAGCAACATGACTTGTGGGAAATGTAGTTAGCCTACGGTCTCACCGCCCCCCTCTCCCCGCCTTTTCCTGTTGCCTTGGCAACGTCCAAGCGCACAGCTGAGGGCGGGCCGAGAAAGCCTGGAAGTGATGTCATAATGTGGTGCCCACGGCAAGGGAGTAAAACACCGGGTGGATGAGCGGGTTGATACTCCCGAAGTTCCCAGGTTTCTATACGCCCCCGCAGGTTACAATGGCCCTGGAGCCTCCCATGAACGCAGAGTGTCCCCCGATGAGTAAACGGCCATGTCAGGTGAGGACATCGGTGCTAAGGCGGAGAAGGAGGCGGGCAGGGGGGAGGAGCTCAGAGGTGAACTGGGGAGCTTCTGCTGGGGGTACCGAGTCCTGTGCGTGCCCAGTCTGGAAGTTCCTGGGACCTGGTCCCAGGAGGCCTAAGGGTAAGGATTTGCTTTGTATCTGAGAGGTGCATAGGTTTGATTGCATCTGAAATGTGATCTCTGGAATTCAAGGGAATTGGCAGGCGTTCGATAGGGTGCTGGGCTCTGCACATAAATAGTTTGTGTCTGGATACCAGCTTATCGCTGCAGGCTAAATAAAGCTACACTGTGCCAGGTGTGGTGGCACACACCTTTAATCCCAGCACTGGAAGGCAGAGGCAGGTGGATCACTGTAAGATCAGAGCCAGCCTGGTCTCCATTCTGAGTTCCAGTCCAGCTGGTGCTACAGGGAGACCCTGTCTCAAAAACACACAAAAAAGTGTACAGTTAACACCACAGGCTTTAGTGACACCTTAGTACTCCTCTGAGGCAGGAAGTACGGGGAGAAGGGCAGTATGAGGGCTTTACTCTTTAGGGTGCAGCAAATAGTTTGTGTTCCCTGCCAATTAAAGAATTAAAGACAGGAAAGGAGTTACCAGAAACCGAGGTAGTTCAACAGTACCATCATATGAAACCTGGGAAATGGAGGTTCTCTTGTCAGGTTCTTAGTCTCACTTAGTAGTAGTAGTAGTAGTAGGTCTTTTTAAAATGTTTTTAAAATATTTTATTTACTATTTTTATTTTATGTGTATGAGTGCATTGCCTGCATGTAGGTAAGTGTGCCCATGTCATGCAGTGCCCACGGAGGACAGAAGAGGCTGTCAGATCCCCTGGAACTGGAGTTACGGACAGTTGTTAGCTGCCATGTGGGTGCTGGGATTCGAACCTTGGTCTTCTACAAGAACAACCAGTGTTCTGAACCATGGAGCCATCTCTCCAGCCCCTATTATTTGGTCTTTTTTTTAGACAGGGTCTCCTTGTAGCCCCAGCTGTCCTGGAACTCACACATAGTGAGTTTGGTCTTTTTGAGACAGGGTCTCCCTGTCACCACAGCTAGCCTGAATTCACTATGGAGACCACACTGGCCTCGAACTTATAGAGATCTACCTGCCTCTGCACTTATTATTATTATTATTATTATTATTATTATTATTATATTTTGAGACAGGGTCTCACTGGCCTCCAACTCAGAGATCGTCCTGCCTTAGCCTCCTGAGTACTGGGATTAAAGCCTTGTGCCACCATATGAAGCCATAGTCTTTTTAATAAAATAATTTAAGAATGGACACAAATAGAGGATTAAGGACAAAAAACCAGACCCAAACAGAGGCTGGAGGGAAACTGATTTCGATTTAAAAGGAAGAGCCTAGCACAGTCAAGCTGTAAGTCTTTCAGTTGCTGGGAAGGGAAGAGGAGGTACAGAGAGAAGGAACCAGAGCTGTGTTGTTTAAGATAAGGCAGCTTGGAGGTCAGACACATGGCAGCAGGCAGCCAGCTGACGGGAAATGGAGCTTAGAAAATGATTAAGGAAGCCCAAAGTCTTAGGAAACTTAAAAGCATACTTAGGCTCTGGCCCGCATCCAAAGGGAAGACAGAAGAAAAAGAAATAGTTACTGGCCTGGCCTGGTAACATATGCCTTTAATCCGAGCACTCAGGGGTGCAGAGGCAGGCAGATCTCTGAATTCCAGGTCAGCCTGGTCTACTTAGCAAATTCAGGTCAGCCAGGGTTACATAGTGTGACCCTATCTGAAAAGAAAAATGTTACTCAGATTCAGATAAGGAAGGCAGACCCAGCCTACCTCTTGTTAGCTCTGCTCAGAGGGACTACAATAGGGTGTGGGAATTCTGGGAAAGAAAAGCACATTATCTCAAGGTGAACCTACCTGGCTAGTGGTGCTCCCCAGCTAGGTCCCTCCTTCAGGGAGGACACTGGGGCATGTCTCCACCTGGGGGTAAATTACATTCTTTCCAGGGGGTGTGTGAAGGGAAAGATTTGGAGCTCCTAGGGTAGGATGTCAGTAGGAGGCAGGACCTGACACACAGGTCAAGGCTTGGATGTGCCCCTCGTTCTACTTTTCATTGTTTGTTCTGCCCACGCTGTACCCCCTATCAGCTCAGTTCATCCTTGCAGAGCCTGGTGATGTTTGAAGATGTGGCCATCTATTTCTCCTGGGAGGAGTGGGAGCTCCTTGATGTGGCCCAGAGGCGCCTCTATCATGAGGTGATGCTGGAGAACTTTGCACTCGTTAGCTCTCTGGGTAAGTCCCTCACTCTTCCCCAGCACAGACCACCTTTGCCTTTGTTTCATGGAAGTCCTGGGTTCTCTGATGTAGGTGTTATGGGTGCTGGGTCTGGGCTCTGTGTTTTTACTCTGAGTAGACCTGTGCAAAAACTAAACAGCTGCTACCCCAAGGCCTAGAGACTGCCCATCTCCCTCAGCTCTGTTTCTCCCTGGCCTTGTGTCTATACCAATGATATCATCCCTCTATGCCAATTTTTGTCTTCTTCTTCCAAAAGAGACTTTATAGGACCCTCTCTAGAACAGGCTTGAGCCCTGATTTTTAATCACTAAGTCATTTCGGAGAGTATTGCTGCTGCCTTTGTTTGTTTTATGTATTATATATTTCTGTAATTTTTTATTGAATTTTTGTGTATTTCATACAGAACATCTTAATCATTTTTATACCCCCTTTCCCCTTGGCACCCTCCCATATCTACTAGTGACCACTCTGGTGTGAGTTGATGTGTGTGCATATCTTTAAATTGTGCTTGAATCACAGCTGCTATTTTGCAATCAGATTTTGCTGCCCTGTACAGTGCTCAGGACACTCATAGTCCAGATCCTGTTGAAACAGTTTGGAGAGGAATGTCTTGAGAATCCCAACTATTCTTTGAGCCAAACCCCACCCCATTTTGCATCCTCATCTATTCAAGTTTTCCCTAGTCTGTGGGCAGTAGAGCTGAGTTCTGCTGGTCCAGCCGGTGATCACCCAGAACTTTCGCAGCAAACGCACAGCAGTTGTGTGGAATCCTTTCTCAATGTTCCTGACCTGCTCTGCTGATAAAGGCACTGCTTCCCTCCGATCCAGCTCCAGTAACTGGTCTTTGCTTTCAGGTTGTCAGTGTAGAGTGAAAGGTGAGGAATCGCCTCACAAGCAAGTGTCAGAGTCCTGTTTGTGTGGAGAGCCTGGGGAGGATAACACAGACACCACAGACACCACAGACCTCCAGCACCGAGGTGCCCCCAGCAAGGAGAAGCTGTGCAGGAGCAGTGAGCACAGGGCAGCCTTTCCACCCCAGCCCAGTCACAGGCAGCAGCAAGGAGCCCACAGTACACAGAAGCCCTTCAAATGCACCGTCTGTGGGACAGGCTTCGAGAAGGCCTTCACTCTCCTCAACCACCTGATAACTCACTCTGAAGGGAGACATTTCACTTGCCCAACAGGCAAGAATGACCCCAAGGAGAACTTGATCCACGTTAGTCACCGAAAACCAACCCCTGTACAAACAGCCCACATGTGTAATGAATGTGGAAAGACCTTCAGTTATCCCTGTAAAGTGAGGAAGCACCAGAGGGTGCACACAGGCATAAAACCTGTTAGGTGCACCAAATGTGGGAAAACCTTCAGCTGCAAGGATTCACTTGCTGTGCACCAGAGGATTCACACTGGAGAAAGGCCTTATGAGTGTAGCACATGTGGGAAAGCCTTCAGTGTTCTGTCTAGTTTTATTCGGCACCAGAAAGTTCACACTGGAGAAAGGCCCTATGAGTGCAAGGAGTGTGGGAACTGCTTTAAGGAGAAGAGTAGTTTTGTTCGTCACCAAGTAGTTCACACTGGAGAAAGGCCGTTTGCGTGCAAGCAGTGTGGGAAAACCTATGTGACCCGCTCTGGTCTGTATGGGCACTTGCGAGGCCATACTGGTCAGCGGCCCTTCGAGTGCAACCTCTGTGGAAAAACTTTCACCACCAGCTCCTACCGAAATCGGCACCAGAAGTTTCACACAGAGACGACGTCTCACAAATGCACGGAATGTGGGAAGGTCTTTAAACATCGTTCTACCCTCCTTCGGCACAAGAAAGCCCATAGTGGGGAAAGGCGGTCAGGGCATGTGAGAAAACCTTTGACCACTAACACCTTGTTAGGCACAGGTGTCCCATTCCAGAAAAGAGATGGAGAGTATCCCTTGGAGAGTGCTGACTAAAAGGAGTTAAACCTTGTACACCCCAACACCCACCCAGAAAATTTTTTCACAACTGTCACGCGTGGAAAGCTCATGGGTGCCACAGTGCTATCTCTTGGTAGCTGTCCTAGTTTGTTTGCATTGCAGTGACAAAACACTCTGACCAATACCAACTTGGGGAGGAAAGTGTTTATCAACTTACATCTCCCTGGTCACAGTTCATCAGGGAGCCCAAGGTAGGAGCTGGAGCGCAGGCCATGGAGGAACACTGCTTCCTGGCTTGATCCCTTGGCCCATGCATAACCTGCTTTCTTACACAACACAGGCCCACCTGCTCAGGGGTGGCACCACCCACTGTGGGCTGGGCCCTCCCACATCACTCAGTAATCAAGAAGATGCCCCACAGACATGGCCATGGGTCAGTCCAATAGAAGCAATTCCCCAGTTGAGGCTCCCTCAACCCAGGTGTGTCAAGTTGACACTAAAGCTGTCCAGCACAGTAGGATTCTGTCACTGCCAGTTTCTGTCATACAAGCCACCCTACCCCTTGCACTTGGTACATCTTGTGTGTGTATCAGTCGCCATGGTGGGTTCAGAGAAGCTGACTTCTGAGTGGTAGTGCTCAAAACAGGCTTATTTCCTCCCCTTTGCTGGTTTAGATGTCAACATGACCCAGGTCTGGCTTGTTCTCTGTCTGGGTAGATCTTCAGGTACTGCTTCCTCTTTTCGTGGATAGTGTTTGCCCTACACATGGTACTCGTCGTGCCTGAGCAGGCTTTGGTGTTGCTTTAGAATACGTGGTAATATAGGCCTTGTTTAAATCACCTTTTATGCTGTGTGGAGACTGAGAATTCAGTTGGTCTCGTTATGAATAGTGGGAATAGCTTTTGTGTGGCTTCACTGATTGCTATGTGTATGTATGTGTATGGGTGTTCAAGCAAGTGGATGTGCATGTTTTGGAGGCCAGAGGTTTAACCAAACTTCAGTGTCATTACTTAGAAGCCATTATCTTTGTTGGTTTTGTTTTTTGTGAGTGTATATTTTTGCATGCATATTAGTGTACAGGCATAGTTAGTTGTGTGTGTGCATGAAGAAGGCAGAGGATGGCAGGTGTTGAGACAGGATGTCACTATATAGCACTGGCTGGTCTGGGACTTGCTATGTAGACCAGGCTGGTCTCGAACTCAGATCTCTCTGCCTCTTCAGTGCAGGGATTAAATGTATACACCTCCATGTTGTGCCTTGTCTTTTTCTCTTACTGAATCAGAAGCCCACCATTTTGGCTGGCCAGTGAGTTCTTGGGATCATCCTGTCTCTACCCCTCAACACCAGGGTTACAGGCATGTACAGCCATGCCATGCTTTTATGCTGTGGATCTGAACTTAGATCCTCATGCTTGTGTTCAGCAAGTATTCTTGCCCACCTAGCCATCTCCTCAACTCCCACTGTGTTTTTTTTAGAGACAAGATTTCATGGGGACCTAGGCTCACCATTTTAGCTAAACATATGTCTCCATGCCCTATTTTTATGTGGGCGCTGAAAATTGAACTCAAGTCTTCATGCTTGTGTGACAAGTATTTTACTGATTGAGCTATCTCCCCAGCCCCTTTTTGTTTTGGTATTATTTGATCTGTAGCCCCAGCTGACCTGGACTAGCCTTGCCCAGAACTCACTCAGCTTTCACTACCAGCCTCTGCCTCCCAGTGCTGGCATTAAAGCTATGTGCCACCACGCCTGGCTTTTTGTTTGTTTTTTGAGATAGAGTCTCATGTAGGTGAGGCTAGCTTCAGACTTGGTATATAGATAACCCAAGCTGGCCCTGAACTCCTGATCTTTCTGTTTCTTACTCCTAAGTTTTGGGATTCCAGGCATGTATAACCACTCCTGCCTTTTCCTAACTTCTGACTACAGCAGGATGCAGAGAACAGCTGTACTCAGGGTTGGTCTGAGTGACGTTGGTGCTTGAGTCTTCCAGGGAACCAGTCGGGAAGTCAGGCTTATTTGTGGGTCCAGAATTCTGTGTGAAGGAGATGGTTGATGTGTCTAGGGATAGAAAAGGATCTTTTTCTAGCCAGGCATGGTGGAACATTCTAGCATGTTGAAAGCTGAGACAGGAGGATTGTGAGTTTGACGCTACCCTAGGCTACATAGCAAGAGCCTGTTTCCAATAAAAGAAAAAGAAGTGGGGGTGAGGGGAATGAATCTCTTTCTGGCAACTGGTCTGCATCCTCTGGCTTTGGTCAGAAGCTGTTTCTGGAAACAGCAGAGTTAAGTTCTAGGCTAGAAGACCTATAAGGGCCTATTGAGTAAAGCAAGGACTTGGAAAGCTGAGTGAGATAAATTGGAGTGGAGTGTAGGGCTGGAGCCACAAAAGTTCTGGACTGTATCAAGATTTTCCAGCTTGCCGGGCGTGGTGGCACACGCCTTTAGTCCCAGCACTTGGGAGGCTGAGGCAGGCAGATCTCTGTGAGTTCAAGGCCAGCCTGGACTACATAGTGAGTTCTAGGCCAGCTGGGGCTACAGGAAGACCCTGTCTCAAAAGACCAAAAAAAATTTTTTTCTTTGTTTGGGCATGGTAGCACATGCCTTTGATCACAGCACTTTGGAAGCAGAGACAGGTGGATTTCTGTGAGTTTGAGGCCAGCTTTTGGTCTACATAGCAAGTGCTAGGCCAGTCAGGGCCACTCAGTGAGACCCTGTCTCTAAAAACAACACAAGGACAACAAAAGAATTGCAGGCCTATGGGACTAGAGATGGCTCGTCAGGTAAGAGCGCTTACTGCTCCTTCAGAGGACTGGAGTTTGTTTGGTTCTCAGCACCCACGTCAGGCAGCTCACAGCTACCTGTAACTCCAGCTCCAGAAGAGCTGATGCCTGTGGCCCCCATGGGCACCTGCATTCATGTGCTTATACCCACACACAGACACATACACGTAAATTAAAAATAAAATATATCTTGCCTGGCATGTTTGCATACACCTTTAGTCCCAGCATTTGGGAGGCAGAGGCAGGAGGATCTCTGAGTTGGAGGCCAGCCTGGTCTACATAGTGAGTTCCAAGGCAACTGGGGCTAGGGAGACCCTGTCTCAAAAAGACTATAAATAAAAATAAATAAATAAATAAATAAATAAATAAATAAATAAATAAAATATATCTTTAAAAAAGAAGTGCTGGCCTGTATTTTGTAGCTAAGGTCACTGTCATCAAATAACCTGCAAGTTTCCTGGATTCCAGCCTTTCTGATCTGTTCAGATTGTCCTGGTGCTGAATGAAAGAAGATCCTATAGATCAGCATGGAGCATCTGGGACCCAGCCAGTGCTACTTGTGCCTTGGGTGCTGAGATCTTCCTGATCCCAGTTTTGCTGCCACAGTGGCAGGGCTAGAAAGAAATGATAGATCAGTACATGTATATAACTCTTGTGGATTGTGGGAGTTTTTGCTTTTTTTTTTTAAAGTAATAAAAATGTGAGTTTTATTAGTCAACTACAGATATAAAATTGAATGAGTTTTTACCCTTTAAAGAGGATCTCCATTTCAAGATAGGCGGTTTCCTACTTTTTTTTGTTTTGTTTTTTGGTTTTTTGACAGAGTCTCCTTGTAGCCCCAGCTGTCCTGGAACTCACTATGTAGACCAGGCTGGCCTCAAACTCACAAAGATCCGCCTGCCTCTACCTGCCAAGTGCTGGGATTAAAGGTGTGTGCCACCATGCCCGGCCCTACATTTTTTAAATATTTTTTATTTTTTTTAGACGAAGCATGTCATTACAGCTTTAACATGCCCAATAACAGCTTCCAGAGCAAAGACACAGCTCCTTCAAAAGTGGCTATAAAATTTCTGGGTTTGCTGTTGAATCAATACAGTTATACAATATTGAACTGAGTATAAGCCCTGTAAGACATAAAATTGAATGAGTTTTTAACTCTCAAAAAAGGATGTTGGCGCATGCATCTCTAATCTGTATGTATCTATTTAACATGTTTATTTGAGACAGGGTCTTGCTATGTATCCAGGGGTAGGGTTTTAGCTTCTTTTTCCATTGCTATGATAAAATACCCTGACAAAAGCAAGGGAGAATGGGTTTATTTTACCTCACAATTCAAGGTGCAGTCAGTCCATCATGGCCCCAGAAGTCAAGAGATCAGGAACTTGAAGCAGGCAGCCATGGAAGTGAACACACACTGCTGTTAAGTTCCCTTTCTTCATTTATAGACACACCCACAGCAGATATGTCTTCTCTCCTCAATGTAATCAAGATAATCTCCCCCACAGGCCTGTGCAGAGGCTCATCTCCCAGGTGATTCTAGATTATGCCAAGGTGACACCATTAACCATCTCAGCTAGCCTGGAACTCACTAACCCAGGCTGGCCTCTAAACTTACTGTTTCAGCCTCTCGAATGGTAGGATTACATGTGTGAACCTGACTTTATAGGACCTTTTCAGTAATTTTTTTGCTTTGGAAATTAGGCTAGGGATGTAACTCAATAGGTTTCTTAGTATAGCATAAATTAAGCCCTAGGAGCCAGGCATAGTCTGGCACTCCAGTGTCAGCACTCCAGAGGCAGAGGCAGGCAGATCTCTGTGAGTTCAAGGACAGCTGGGGCTACAGGGAGACCCTGTCTCAAAAAGGCCAAAAAATAATAAATGAAGCCCTAGGTTAGATCCCCAGGAGCATATAAAACTGGGCATGGTAGCACATGCCTGTAATCCCAGCATTGGGGAGGTAGAGGCAGGAAGGTTGCAAGTTCATACCCACCCTTAGCTCTTAGTGAAGACTAAAGCCAGCCTAGGTTACTTAAGACCCTATCCCAAAAAAATTTCTAGAGGGCTAGAGAGATGGCTCAGGGATTAAGAGCACTCACTGACTGCTCTTGTACAGGACCCAGGTTTGATTCCCAGCACCCACATGGCAGCTTACAACTGTTAACTCCAGTTCCAGAGTTCCAGGGAGATCCAACGCCCTCTTCTGTCCTCTGTGGGCACTGTACAGCATGGGTGCACTGACATACATGCAGGCAATACACTCATACACATTAAAAAAAAAAAAAATTTCCCCAAAAGGCAAAATGTCAGTTCAGCAAAACGTGCATGTTCTCCAGCTGTAGCCTTGGTCCAAAGCACCTGTTTCTTAGGGTAAGAATGTTTCCTGGGAGTTGTGTTTGGAGACAGACAGGACCAGGGCTCAGCCTTTGCTTTGGTGGACTTAGACACCACAATGCCCCTGGCCTCTGCCTGCCAGTAGTGGGGAGGTGAGCCTACATCTGGCAGAATCCCACGTAGGCAGGGTGGCTTGCACAGGGCATCTGTTGCAACATGCTCAGTCACAGTATTTACCTGCCCAGGCCTGGTTCTCCAACCTGGGGGTGGAGGTATGTGTGTGTGGAATCAAAGCTGAAGTCTAGCTGAGCTGGACTGGACCTCAAGAACATGGATAGGGTGCCAAACATGGTGGCTGGAGCCAAGGAGCCATGGTGGCTCCTTCCTGTAATCTCAGCACTTGGGTGTGTTCTCCACTAGAAGCTTAAAACCAGAGCACTTCCTTCCTCTGCTCCAAACCTTCCACAGCTCCTTCAGCAAACTAAACCTGGGTGACATGAGGTCCCCAGAACATTCCCATCTCATCACTTCCATTTAACTGGGACAGCCTTCCAGACTTCATTCCATAAAATTCCTAAAATAAGAACCCTTCTATACTCCCGGTCTAGATTCAAGATGCAGGGGAAACTGACTTTTTAAAATTATTTTTAAGATGTTTATGGGTGTGAGTCTTTTGCCTGCGGGTATGTAAGTGCAGTGCCTGCATTTGTGCAGTTCCTGCAGAGGCTCCCCTCCCCTGGAACTGGAGTTACTGCCAGTTAGCTACCCTGTGGGTCATGGGAACTGATCCCTGGTCCTCTTAACTGCTGAGTCATCCTTCCAGCCCCCAGAAATGGAGGCAGACCCAAACCTGTATAAGGACAGGAGAAACCCGAGTCCTTGGACACCATCTCCTACATCAGGGCTCCAGGTCTGTGAATTCCAGGATCTCCGTGGATGAAAACCTGCGTACCTTCACCTCACTACTGCCAGCTCCATCAGCAAGATCCCCAGTTCTGTGGGAACCAAGCTGGGAGGGTCCAATGGGATTGGCAGAACTCTCACACCTCCTCTGGCCAGGGTGACAGTTGAGGACGTTTGCCCTCAGGCTGTCTTCACCCTTGGGAAATGAGCCTAAGGGCTTGGGGTAGGCCTTCTGGGACAGTGGGAAGTAGGCAAGTGCAAAGACTTGGGGGCCTCTTAGCTCTGGTTCCAAAGCTGGGAAGATCTAGGCTCTAAACTCAAGACACAGCTTCCAGGCAATCCTCTTTCTGCCCCTTACCTTCCAGCAGCATGGGGAGCTGAAGTCCACCCCACCCATGGCTGCCCACTAGGGAACTGAACCTGACCCTGAGGGATGGTGTGGATCAGGATCTTAAGCCAACCTATTTCCCTAAATCCCAGGGCAGTGTCACTTAGTTGTTTCCAAGGTGATCATGAAGGGGGCTCCTTGCATCATTGCTCATGTGACATGCACTACATCTCCCTAGAAGGGCATTTCCAAGTGGCCAACCAGATGCTGGGCCATCAATGCCTGGGAGTCATTTCCTGGAATGCTTCATGGTGGTTTCCAATGTGGGAGGTGTCCAAGGTGGTTCTCCAGGGTCACCAGGGCAGAAACTTTCTGTTCCAGACCACAGTGCACAAGCAACTCCCCATAGCCCCAGGGACCATGGAGACACAGCCCTAAGAGGCTGTAAGACCACCCAGAGCAAGAGTTGCCAGGCCCCAGCTAGAGCCCGTGTGTCCACAGATGGCCTAAGGCTCGCTAAGCCTTCCCCGTCAGAGGTCCTGCCCATGGCATCCAGGTCAGTCATTTCCTGGCTCACTTCTTGCGAGTCCCCATACTGCATCATAATGTGAAGACATAACCACTGACCTAAGACCTTTCCTGAGCATTTTGTGGGGTACATATCTTCCCAGCTACATACAAGTGACCTTCACCCATTATCTGTCATGGGATAAATCACCCTGACCTAAGGTTGACCTCTCACAAACCACTAGATCCTCCACAGGAATTGTTGCCCTCACATCTCCATTTATCACTCAAGAACAAGAGAGGAAACCTGGCTAATGGCCAGGCAGGACCAGTCAGCCCCTGTGAATGCAAGTGACACTTAGAGGACCCTTTGGCAGTGAGCTTGTACCCTGTTGTCCTGGAAGCGAGAGTAGACAAGCCTCTCCTTAGTCATCCTCTCCTGACATCCCATCCTGTTGTCACCTGACTCCTGGGCTTCAACTCAAAGTCTATTTTCTCCCTTATACTGGCACGTTTTCTGCCACTGGTCTCCCCTAACATGTACTGAGTTGATATGTCTACTTAACGAGGGGACCAACTCCTGCTGCCCTTGGATATATTGGGGATTGCCACACCACTATCCAATTTCCAAAGCTCTGACCCCAAGAGGTAATTCTGGCACCTGGACTCATGAACAAGACCACAGAGACCCTCTAGATCTGAGTAGACTTGGTACCTCAAAGCAAACCAGGTTCAACTGCACTGAGAGCTACTTGCATCCTAATATTTCCTGTGAGGTAAACAAAGCCACTCCCCTCACCTCCCAGAGCCCTTCCCTGTTAGAGCCCAATTATCTTTTCAGTTTCTCCCCACAAAGAGGGTAAGTCCTGCAGATTAAAAGATGGTTTTAACAGTAAAGCTTTTATTATCACTCTCTGGAGGCAAGTGGATTCAAGGTTGAGTCTTTTAGAGGCTAGACAATCTACTGCAGATGTCATCTGGAGACTCAAGTCTTTGGAAAAGAAAGCTCTGGATGTCATTAGCAGACTCTGGGTCCGCTTGGAGAGACCTAGGTCAGGGCAGAGCCTATGCCAGTGGGGATAGGGGAGAGAAGCAGAGACTGAGATGACCCCAGAGGACTCCCGTCACTACTTCCAGGGAACAAGAGCACAGGCACTGCCTTCCCTGAGTATGTCAGGCACACACTGTGAGGCCTTCCAGCTAGAGGTGAGATGACAGGATAGTGACACAATCGACAAAGGACATGGACTGAACAGAACGTGTAACTAACAAGGCTCCTCAGAGCTTTCCAGGTTTTTGGCACTACTGATAGGTACTTCTCCCGGTGAGGGATGTTGGGAGGTAAGTTACATCTTTTGTCTGATGGCTTCCTTAGAAAAGTTCTCCTCACCTAAGTGTTCTCATGAGTAGTGCTTTTACAATGCAGCAGAAGAAAGCCCGAGGGTGTTCCCATGTCCTGTGTATTTGGAATGCTCATCTCTAGCATGAGCCTTTTGGTGCTTGGATAGGTTAGAGATAAAGCGGAAAGCTTTTCCACACTTACTGCAATCATAAGGCCTTTCTCCTGTGTGGATTCTCTGGTGCTGACTGAGGATGGAGCTTTCAGTAAAGGCTTTCCCACACCAGCTGCAATCATACAGCTTCTTTCCAGTGTGAACTTTCTGGTGCTTAACAAGGTTAGACCTATAACTGAAGGCTTTCCCGCATTCACTGCATTTGTAAGGCCTCTCTCCAGTGTGAACCTTCTGGTGCTGAGTGAGAGCAGAGCTTTGAATGAAGGCTTTTCCACATTTTGAACATTTATAAGGCTTTTCTCCAGTATGAATTCGCTGGTGTGGAACAAGGTTGGAGAGGCAACTGAAGGCTTTCCCACACTGGTTGCACTTATAAGGTCTTTCTCCAGTGTGAGTCCTTTGATGCTGAACAAGCTTGGAGGTTTGTCGGAAGGATTTCCCACATTCACTACACTCAAAAGACCTTTCTGTGTTATGAAGTTTCTCATGACGAATCAGGTGGGACCTGTCAATGAAGGCTTTCCCACACTGATTGCATTGATAAGGCCTTTCTCCATTGTGTATTTTCTGGTGTTTGACAAAGTTAGAGATGCAACGAAAGACTCTCCGGCACTGTTTGCATTCATGAGGCTTTTCTGTGCTGTGAACTACCTGATGCCGAAGAACTTGGAAGCTGTGAGCAAAGGCTTTCCCACACTGGTCGCACTCATAAGGCCTTTCACCAGTATGAACCCTTTGGTGCAGAACCACCGAGTGTTTGCGGGTGAAAGCTTTGCCACATTTGCTACAAGTATGACATGACTTTCCAGTGTGAGCTTTCTGATGCGATCTCAGTTTAAATAGGTAGGTGAAGGCCTTCCCACATTTCTTACATATATGAGATGGTCTTTCAGTGTGAAATTTTTGGTCATTAACATGATTTAAGTTCTCCTTGGGGCCATTTCCCCTTGTTGGGCATCTGAAGTGTTTCTCTTCAGAGTGAGTTATCAGGTGGCCAAGGATAGTAAAGGCCTTCTGGAAGCTTGTTCCACAGTCACTGCATTTGAAAGACTTCTGTGTACTACAGATGCCCTGCTGCTGCCCATGGCTGCCTGATGGGAAGACTGCCCTGTGTTGGGTGTTCCTGCACAACTTCCCTTTGCTGCTGGTGGCCTGGTGCTGGACATTATGGCCTTCTTGGACATTCTCATCTGCCCAGCACATGAAGTGCTTCTTAACACTGTGCTCCTTTGGCTGGTGAAGGTTCATACTGATCCTGAAGCTTCTGCCACATGCCTCACATGTATATGTCTTCTGTCCAAGTTGTGTTCCCTCATGTTCAGCAAGGTGCAAAATGTTTTTCAAGACTGGGTCACACATATCACAGGAATAGGCCTTCAACCAGGCCTTACAAGTCTCAAACTGGGACACTTCCTCTACAGAACCCTCCAGTCCATGCCAGCAATCTAAAAGGAGATACACTCTGATAAAGTGCCTGTGGGGGCTTTTCTGGGAATGAGCAGCATTTCCTGTGTTTGCTTGTTTTTGAGACATCAACCTGACAGTGATCCTCCTGCCTCTACCTCCTAACTGCTAGCTTCATTATAGAAATGACAGGTGTGTATCACCACACTCAGTTCTGGGCAGCCTCTTTACAAGTGCATATCTGGCTGGGCATAGTGGTTACATGCCTTTAATTGCAGAACTTGGGTGGCAGAGGCAGATGACCTCTGTGAGTTTGAGGATTACATAGGATACCCTGTCCTCAGATAGATAGATAGATAGACAGTAAGACAGACAGACAGATAGATGGTAGACAGATAGATGATAGATGATAGATAGGTAAGTGTGTATCTGACATATGCAGAAAAAAGGCAGCAGAGCAGGCCTTGCTTGAATTGGCCACAGGGGGTACCTCTTGAGGTGCCAAAATACAGAATACAGAGGTAGAGTTCTGGCTGGAAAAAGAAGAGGCACTCCAACTCACACCTTGGATCTTCACAGGATCCTTCATAGGCATGCCTCAGGAAATCTCAGGAAAAAGTGGCAAAGAGTTGTGTACAAGCTCAGGCAAAGCAGGCAAATCCAGCTTCAGTGAGACATCTGGCACTCAGAGCCTATATAAGGATACGTCCACCTCTTACAGCGAACTGAGTATAGGCTAATGTGTGGCAATGCTGTTACGGAGGCAAAGGAGCATGGGGAAAAACATAGAGGTCAAGCCGTGGACTACCACCATCATCCAGAAGTCAGAGTAGAAATTACAAGAAGCCAGCCAGAAAGGAAGGTAAATTAAGATTCAACTGTGGCCACTGAGTCCAGCAACTGAATATTAAGATACAGAGGAGATGCCCAAGACCATGCTAACCCCAATGTCACCTCTGCCCCCCCAGTACCACTTACCAGAACTGGCCTCCCTCTTGGACTCTCCTATGGCTGGATGTGACACATCTATCCAGTCAGGCACCCAGGGTTCTTTACCCTGCTCCAAGTGGGAAATCACAGAGGACTTGGAAGCCGCAAATCCTGGGAGAAAGATAAGACAGGTGAGTGGCAGGCTCCAGGATAGGCAACCCACCTCCTGACAGACCAAAGGGAGCTCATTTAATCTTTACAACCAGGAAAACTCAATGCTGAGCTGAGAATATAGCTCAGTAGTAGAGCACCTATCTAGCCTGTGTACAGCCCTAGATTTGATCCCCAGCACCACCCCACTCACCCCCCCAAAAAAAAACAAACCTTAAAAATGGCAAAATAAGCCTCTGCTACCCAGCACTACACACACACAGAGAAAATTACAAAATAAGCCTCTGAGGAACATCTCACAAAAAATGTGCAGTGGTCTTCAAGGTTGTAACCTTGTCTATGGTCTGCAGTTACAGGCATTGCCAGGCCCCTAGAAATAAATGTCTGGCCGGGTGTGGTGGCACACGCCTTTAATCCCAGCACTTGGGAGGCAGAGGCAGGCGGATCTCTGTAAGTTCAAGGCCAGCCTGGTCTACACAGTGAGTTCCAGGACACCTGGGGCTACAGAGAGACCCTGTACAAAAAGACCAAAAAAAAAATCTAAACACAGAGAGAAATTGTACCATGGAGCAGAAGTAATGATTTCTTAAAGTTAATTTATATTAATAGGAACCATCTTGTAATTTAACAAGTTTAGTTTACAAGAGAACTTACTTAGAAGTCAATTTGATATCTAGTAAATTTTTTTTTAAATATTTTATTATTTTTATGTATACGCATGTATTGCCTGCATGTAGGTAAGTGCACCCATGTGGTGCAAAGCCTGCAGAGGACAGAAGAGGCCGATGGAGCCCCTAGAACTGGAGTTACAGATAGTTGTTAGCTGCCATGTGGGTGCTGGGATGTGAACCCAGGTCTTCTGCAAGAACAAGTGTTCTTAACCACTGAGCCATCATCTCTCCAGCCCCTAGTAAATTAATTATTTAATAATTGTTCCCTAGCTGGGCATGGTGGCACACACCTTTAATCCCAGCACTTGGGTCTGGTCTACATAGTGAGTTCCAAGACAGCTGAGGCTACAGGGAGACCCTGTCTTAAAAAGACAAAAAAAAAAAAAAAAAAAAAAAAGACATGTCTGATAGAAGAAAAGGAGGCTTCCTGAATACAGTGGCAACATGTTTGCAATCCCAGTACTTGGGAGACCATGGCAGAATCTGTAAATTCCAGATCAGTCTGGGTTAGAGAAAGGCATTGTCTCAAATCAAAAAACCAAACTAAGGGCTGGAGAAATGGCCCAGAAGTTAAGAGCACTGGCTACTCTTGCAGAGAACCTGTTGGGAGCTATTAATCCATTATGTACATAAACTGTGGCAGGCTTGTTTACTGAGTTTGTGTTTTGCACACCAGTACCTAATCTGCCAAATTGGGAGGAATGTGTTTATATGGTGGAGCTCACAGAACAAGTATTTGACCGCCCCTTGACCCTCAGATACAGGTGGGAAAACAGCTGTGGAAACTAATTGAGTTCTTCTGTATAAAAAGG